GGTGCCAAGCACTATGAGAGATACAAAGGATACAGAGAAAAATAACACATGGCCTTGCTCCAGGTATGGGTCACAGTCTGGCACAAGAGATATCAACGTGGCAGCAGTCCTCTGGTTCACTTCTCTTCCTGCTGGTGATTAATGGACTTTAGGCTCAAGGAAACATATTCATCTTTGGCTACTGCAAAGGAAGGTCTTTCCTACCCTACCCTGTCCACTTAGCATCTGGGCCATTTGCTTTCTATACGTCCTCAAATCCAATGTTACAACGATGGAGCAGGATTCTCCCAGGGACTTAGGAGTCCCTCAAATGCTAGGCTGATAAAGGGCTCCAGAACAGAAAAAAAAAGAGGTGGGGGGGACCATTACCCTGAAATACCTTTTTCCTAACAGACTCCTGTTGGAGGAGGTCATTGGGAGGATGTGACCTCCAGGTAACCGATGAGCTGGGCCTGGGCAGTTGGAGGCTCCCTGCCCCCTCCCCGTCCTTGGAATGTATGTTCTGCCCAATTTCCACAGTGGGAGCCATTTTCAAAGACACAGCCTCGAGAGAATAAGGTGTTGTTGAGATCCTCTGGATAGTGTATGTGACTGAACCTCGTTAAGGCCTTTATATAGACTTTTAAGATTCTGGTGGGCGGGTGTAGAAATCTACTCACCTTATAGCTGGCCCAAGACAAGCCTTGTACACAAGTTCCCTTGCTTATTAAACCGGCAACCTTCCAATCTGGAGTGGTCTGCCTCCTTCTTTGGTCCCTTCTTGTCCTCTGTATATGGGGACCAGTTTCAGATTTCACCCAGGGAATTTCTGTTGCAAATCAACAACTCATTATCAATATCATTAGAAAACAGAAAGTGTGATGTGACAGGGTCCATCTCCAGTTCCTGTGCCTCCTCTGCCCAGTACGCTATTCAGGATCCTATTTTCTGCTTGATGCCACACATACTCAAGGGGTATACTTTTATTCCCATTTTACAGATGAGAAAATTGAGGTTCAGCATCACCATTGATGGTGTTTAAAATATGCCTTTTGTGCTACTTTAAGAGCCACCGATCACAGTTCTCTGTCTGGGCTCGGGGCTGGCCAGGTCTCAGTGAGTGCAACGCAGGAGCCTCAGGTACTTCTGAGGGGTGCCACCACTAGTTAACATTCACGCAGGGCACTGTCATCTCAGAAGGCTTTGTTTAATGCGCACTTACCTCTGGGCAAGAAAACAGCCTGTTAGGGTAAATACTTGTGAATAAGGGAACTCGAACATGCAAAAATTTAAAGACAGCTTTTCCTTTGATGGTTTTACCTAAGTATTTAGAAAAGCCAAGACAGCTGGTCTCCACCACAACTCAGTTGAGTAGCCTCGGTTACATGAGCATCGACTTTGCTCATATTCAAATATTTACACATTTTTAAAGTTTACATAAATAAAAATAGCTGTACCCTATGTTTCTAACACCTAAGTAAAAGGACTCATTTTCTAATCACAAAGTAGCCACACAAGGATGACCAGAAATGGGGTGTTTCAGCCGACTGGAACCTCCCAGCTGTCAAATGCACTCCCGCAACACCCTCTTCTCCTAGTTTCCTCAGTCATGAAATGGGGACCCATCTCATAAAATGGTCATGGTGCTCTAATGCACACTGTTCTGCCTTTTAGGGGTGTCTCTAGGGGTGGGGGGAGTCTGTACTACTACTTTTTAAAACTGCTGCTTTGGTAGTTTGGGTAATTAATAGTGAATTTCCTTTCTCTTATTGGAATGTGTATGTGGTAGAAAATGAATTGCCTCTTACAGGTCTCAGGGAGGCAACAGTGAAGCATTTGATAAGCTTCGTGGTTTGTAATATCTCAAGCAGGTACTCTGAGTTGTTACTTAATGTAACTCATTAGGTTTAATGTTCATTTTAACTGCCTACTTGTAGGCATTTTTGCTTTCCTTGCAATTTGAAGAACTCAGTCAGTCTCATGACTAATTATTACTCTTATTACAGACTTACTAGTTCCAAAGTCTGAGTAATTATCTCTTTTCTCTTAACTACTTTATAAAGCTTTTCCCCATATGGGGGGGAAAATGATATTGATTCAACCAATGCTTACTGAGCACCTACTGTCAGGTACATCACTGGCCATGGAACAGATGGATGCCAAGAACAGTGAAACAGTGTTTCTGCCCCCACAGAGCTTACTACATAGTTCTCAATGTGGTCCACAGACCAGCAGAGTCACCATTATCTGGGGACCAGTTAGAAATGTAAAATTCAGGCCCCATTCCAGACCAACTGTGTCAGAAACTCTGGAGGTGAGCCCCTCCCCAGCCATCTGTGTTTGAAAAAGCCCACTTCAAACAAAGATCGTCCTCATCAAATGTCAAAACAACAATGTTGTTAGCTTATTGAGCTAAATCAGAAAGTGTCATTTGTACTTTGAGGAAACAGAGACCCAAAGGCCACATGAGGGGTTGAAGGGATTAAAACCAGAACTCAGGTCTCTCATCCTACATTGCCAATGTTCTTTCTTGATGTTTTCATCCCTAAATCTTTTAGGGAGCCCCAAGTATTACCAACTCAAAATGCAAACCTTGGTTTTCAAAGAAAACAGAAAAACAGAGAAACTCGTTGAAAATAATGAGCACTAACAAAAATTAACAGCTGGTCTATCAAACCCATCTAGTAAACTAGCGGTCATTTCCCAAACCTTTAACACTTTTCAAAGTTCCGGTTACAAGACTGAAATTTGTGCAGGGGAGGAGGGGTAAAAATATAATGAATAATGTAATGGTAAGTCTGTAAGAATATAGAGTATGCAGAAATGTCAACAGTGGTTCACCTGTGAGAGAATCACAAATGATCTTTTTTTCTTTGTAGTTTTTTGAATTTTTCCCAATGGTTATATATTATTCCCATAATAATAATAATAACTGTTTTTTGAAATGTTACATCCATAGCACTCAACATGAAGGTTTATTTTGCAATTCTATTCCTCTTCATACAGCAGGACAGTATGTATGTGTAGTAATTATTTATATGCCATGTGTTACAATGAAGATGAAATTCGGTAAATACATTCCTTCCAGCTGGCGCTGAAAACGAAGAGGCTAAATGCTTTCCCAGGTTCAAAGCATTATGAATTAAGACAAGCTAAGTGTGAGGCTAAAGGAAAAATTAATCCCAGTACTGAAATCTCTGAGAGCATCCTTTTTGAAAAATGTTGATGTGACACATAGCTCCTGACTCATATCTCCCTAATGTTTAACCCCTGGCACAAAACAGAATGTTCAGCAGTTCCTGGCAAAGTCTTTGGAGTTCAGGGGATAAAATGCATGGGAGAATATCAGAAAAACAAGACATAGCATGATCCGACTTTCACAAAAAATTCTGTCTCTGTGGACAATAAGACTTCCAGAATTACTCGCAAATTTTATTGTCCTAAATATTCTTTTAGAGGGTAACTAAACTTATTGATTACAGCAGACTGTATGCAAATGTCAATTCAGATGTTTTACACCATCTGAAACCAATATAAAATTGTGTGTCAATTATACTTCAATTAAAAAAAGTTTTCTAAGAAATGTTGCTCATTTAAAAAAATATCTATGTTGGCTAGCTTATTCCGCAGATCATTCATAAATAAATAAATGTCTCATCTAAAAAGACATTTCTGCCACAAAGCACTGTTGTAATTTTTCACTTGATAAGAAAAATTTGTTGCTTGAAGAAAAACTAACAGTGTTTTACTGAAATTCTCAGCAATATAATATCAGTGAATGTTAGTTAAGGTTTCTTAAAGGAGACAGGGAAGTAAGTTAGGAACCAATGTAATGAATATGAAAACAGAAACACCAGTGGCTACCTACGTCACTAAAATACCTCACAATAGCTGACATTTCTAGAATTTACAAACACATTCAGGAAAGGAAAAGTTATTGGAGAGAGGAACATACATATATATATGTATGTGTGTGTATATATATATATCCCAATATGTATAGTATGTAAGGTTGCCATATTTACACAATTTAGCTTAACAGTAGTATCAGAGAACTCAGAAAGAATTTATCATCTTGTTTGTTCTGTTCAGCATGTAAGCTTTTGCTTACAAAGGTATATCTCCAAAGAGTCTCAAATTTCCCTCGGTCCTCAACTTTCACTGGGTAGTCTGATCTTTTGCAAAATTAATAAATTAATGAGAGAAATAAGAATAAATAACAAAGAACATACAACTCACAGAAAGTTTCTCACCAACTCCAAAGTGCCCACTCCATATAATTATCCATCTGCCTATAAAAATTGATCTATAAAAGCCCTTTTAACCTATTAAGCTAAACCTAACAGTTTCCTTTCTGTCTACCACTTTTTGACAAAACACACACAAACTTGTAGCTCAGCCTCTAACTCCATTCAGGCACTTACAAGCCCAGTTCTTATGCTGAATCCACGTCTCATCCCCCTCTGGGGAGAAAAGAGTCCTATGTCAGGCTTTTCCTAATACTGCTTATTTTGGCACTTTTACTTTGGGGTTGCTAAAAGGCATTAATTAGGAACTACCTGCAAATCTAGCTTCTAGGCTTTGATAAGTGCTGAGGGAACAATTCCATCCAACAATAAAACCCCAAATATCTTCAATTTGTAGCATGGAAATGCCTCTCCTCTCAACAAGAAAGAAATAATATTCCTTCCTATTCCATTAAATTTTTAAAAATAATATACGGTAGCTTTCATTCTGAACAAAATTACATTATCTGGGTCACTTTCCCCTGTCTCTCTGGGCCACTTTTTACGCAGCCTGACATGGCTTGTAAACACTATCTATTCGGGCAACCAGTTTAGTTGTCATAGAGCGAAAACCTCAGTTCTCTTTCCTGCCGCAGTTTCCCAAAACAGACCGCGCCACCCGCCCCTGCCCTCCACACCTCACCACTCATTTTCTCTTCCTCCAAACCTCAAATGGGCGAGCTAATTCAGAGAAAAAGTTAATGCATGTCTGCTTTTGAGGTAAAGCTGCCCTACCTGCGATCCCCAAATCACAGGAAGACTGGAAGTCTCTAAAAGCACGTACCCTCTGCACGCTCCTCCCAGTCGGTGAGCGCTTCACGCCCAGAAGCCCGGGAACATGATTTCTATGCAGACCTGCACCCATCCCACACAAGTCCACACGCCAGCTTGCATTATCACTTATGTAAGCTCGTGCCTCTACAGTCCCGAACTGCTCGCACACCACACCCCGACACCTGTCACGCATCTGAAACGGACCAGCATCCACACCCAGGAGATGAAATGACATCAACACATATAAATTGAAGGGTGGGAGCATACCGTTTTAAAACATCTTTTCCCCCATTTATTTCGTGCCCATTTTTGTCACAACTACAATTACCTTAGCAACCAAAGAATTGTCTTGATTCCCCCTCCGGCTTCGGAATTTGTCCTAAAGCCAAGCTTGCGCCAGGGTCATGGTAAAGCTAGAGGAGCCCAGGCAGTCTCTTGGGGGCGAAGGGGACGTCTGGGTCAATCTCCGCGCTGCTTTCCAATGTCTCGCCTCGTCTTTTCGAGCGTCCGCGGTGGCGAGCGCGGGGGCTCAAAGAGCGAAGAGCGAAGCCCGGGGCCGACGAGGAGGCGCGGCAGGTCGCATGGTGCCAGCGCGCGGGGCGCTAGGCTATTTCCAGCGCGCTCA